ACGATCTTCTGCAACAATAGTCAATAATTGAATGAGAGAGAATATATGAACTCTTAAGATCCATACCTATTTTTCATAAAATATCACAGTGTTTCTTATATATCTCTAAATGAATAATTTTGATGAATGCATCAATTGGGTTGAGTTTAACTTTACTCTTGACTAGCTTTACTTTATATTTTGAAATTAGTATTGTATTAAGGTGGGATCTGATATCAATATCACAGTGTTTCTTATATATCTCTAAATGAATAATTTTGATGAATGCACCAATTGGATTGAAATTAACTTTACACTTGACTAGCTTTACTTTATACTTTGAAATTAGTAATGTATTAAGGTGGGATCTGAAATCAATGTGCTTTAGGTAGCTCTTTATCACTTGTTTTGTTGCAAGATCTTATGCATTCTTAATACATAATTAAATATTGACAACATCTTGTTAAATTGACTAGCTTTACTTTATTAATTGAAATTGGTATTTTATTAAGGTGGGATCTGAAATCAATGTGCTTGATCTAGCTCTTCATCAACTTGCTTTGTTGCAAGATCTTATACATTCTAACTACATAATTATAGATCAACAACATTCCGTTAAATTACAATTCAGTAACAAATCTATCAATCAAATGATTCTATTTTCTTTGCTACTACTACATATGTTTCTTTTATTTTTGAATGACCTATGCACTTTTACAAAGTAGATTTTTAACTAATATATCCGTCATCAAATGTAAACAGAAACCAAATTGTAGATCTTTTCTTGTCTATAAACATCATCAACGTAGCCTAAAAATGATTTGCTAGTATGCAATAAATCATGAAATAAAATATCATAATCTTTAATACATTTGACATACAGCAAGTATCAGGAAAAAACTTTCATTGCTAGATTGATGATTAGAAATTTTACACAATATAAAAAATATGCACAACAAAAAAGTTTATTCCAATTATGACAAAACATGTTACAAGTTGATTAGTTTTTTTTTCTCAAAATTCATTTGACAACTTTTTAATGCATCTTTTTGGAATTTAACATGAAATTGTTCATCTCAATTTGAGCTAAAACAAATTGAATGCATATCTTCATATATATGAGACTATCTATTACATTGTCATAAAAAATTGATAACATATATTTACTCTCAATAGCATTGATTGGACATTAACAGATTGTAATGACAAATAAATACCAAAATGCAGCACAATGTTAAAGATCTGATCTAGAGGAAAGAAACAACACAAAGAGCAATAATTGTTCTCATATTCTCTCTTGAACCATTGCTCTTAGTGTGAGTTGTGAGTACTTGTGAGCTCGTTGGTACTCTAAGGAAGAGTTTGAAAAAAGAAGAGGAATCTGTTGTGATATTTCATCCCCGGCGATTTGGATTTGTTGTCAAGCCGCCTTTAGGTTTGCAATGGAGCCCTCTGTTGCTGTCAAGGGTGAAAATTGCAACAAACTAACTTCCGACAATTATTTTATATTATGCGAACCCCGACCTTCATGCACATGAGATATGTTTCGATGCTAGTGTATTCTTGTGCGATCTCTACTTTTTTTATTGTTACATTATGCCGCCACATCAAGTCTTCTTCTTCTGTGGACACCGAACATAAGTACAAGCGCCTACTCTGTGCTACTCCTGTTACTTCGAGAGCAGTCGAACTAGTTGACAATATGTCTACCAATACCTCCAGAATCTGCTAAAAGCCCTCTTCAGAATAGGTGGAGAAGGAATATCCTCACCACCTTTCTGCTTTCCAAGCAGGCGAGGGTTAATTCCTGTGCAGTGGAAATTGCAGAATCTGGTGCGGAAGTCGAGTTTTAGTCGCAATCCGCTCTTGCAATGAATGACAGCTGACCAGTATGAATGAAGTCTGACGCTCAATGGTACTCCTCTGATAGACGTCTAAGTATCAATGTGAATAAATGTACTTTACAATTCACCAGCTGGTATAGTGAGAGATCAAGTTACATCAGAGCACTTGCACCACTTGTAGGACCGCAAAGATTACTGGCAAATCAACCCGAGACCTTACGACAGAAGCAAATCGGAGAGTAGCAACTTCCGGAGAATTTCTTACCTCTTGTAGTTCTTGTTGACATCCTTCACTCCAGCCCGCCTTCCACTCTCCATCACTCAGCTTATGGTTCAATTCTACCCTCTTGCTTTATTATACTGAAGGTGCGCTGGCTCGTTATTGGACGCGCTGGCTTCAAGTGCTTGACTTTGGTGTACCTACCGTCCACAGGGCTCCTCCCTCTTGCTTTATTATACTGAAGGTGCGATGACTGCTTGAGTTTTGGACTAGAAGTCAATGATTTGCTTATTTTTTTTATAACTTTGACCTGCAAATATGCTTCAAATTCATTAGACATAATTCGTCTGCTCTATAAGACCTTAAAGTCTTGATCTTTTAATCTATTTATATCTCTATCATTGTTTTGAAGATTCAAAATTTGTTCAACGTTTCACTCTTTGACTTCATAAAATAAACAAACAAATTTCTCAGTAAATGCTAGAAAGTACTTAAGACTTGCTTAGTGAATGACACATCAAAGTTAAATCTGGATTTATGTGAACTAGTTCTAATTGTTCATTAGCTCTGTTAGTTGATGATGTATGAAATCTTTATCTTGATTGCGTACATGTATTGCAAAATTTATGAATATAATATATTTGAGGCATTTCTATTACATGATTCTCTCTAGAGAAGTTACTTAATCCATAGAAGTTGAGAGGATGAAACAGACTATGCCACAAATTTTTGTCTCTTGTTTTTGTCATGCGGTTCATTTCACTAGCAGGTGAGTTAAACATGTAAAGTTGGCTACATTGGATTTGACTTGGGCAAGAATAATCTTGTAAAGGGCTTTTCATGTTGGTGGACTTAAGAATAGAGCTATCCAACTATTTTCAAAGTTGGAGTGTATACCGCAAGCATAATCTTGCTCCATCCATGATGAAATAATATGCACAATGGGAAAAAAATATATCTCACCTAAGAGAACAGTAGCAGAGTTCATAATTTTTTCTACACTAATGTACTCACTGGTTGCTCTAATATCATGATAGAATTGCAATGGTCACTGTGAACGACTACTTGTTTACTATCACATTATTGATTTTTACACAGTTTAGGGATCGCAATGAACACCACCAAGACCCTTCTTTAGGTAACCGCTAGTAGTAGAGTTTACGTAACCTCTAGTACTAGCGGTTACGTAACACACAAGAACTCTTATCTGTATCTTTCTCAGTTGTGTGAGATCGAATGTGATGTAATGCGATTGGGGCCTATGTTTCCCTTTCCACAAAACAAAGTCCGGGACCCTGTCTGACAGTGCCAGGGCCCTGCGGACCTTGTTTTTGTTTTTTCATTTTATTATTATCAAATTAATGGGAGACTTTTCATATTTAGAATCTTTCTGTGGTGTACTTTGTATTTTTCTTCTTTTGTACATTCTTTTTATCATTTCATCATAGGCGCGATAGCTTAGCGAGGCAAAAATTTTCTTTTTTTCTTTTTCACAAGCAGAGAAGACGCGAGTTTATTATATCGTCACTGAGAAGAAATAACTTGAATTGGAGTAGATGTTTTCTTGTTCGCGCCTTACCGAGTAGACTGATCACTGGTCACGACTTTCGAAATCATACTAACGATTGATTAGAATTCTATGTTGCTGTACTGTACGTATACACCTTCCTTCATGTTATAAAGCTAATGGGGATTTCTAGTTGGATATGTCTTTAAGGTTACGAAAACAGTTTTCCTTTCTAAAACTTCCACCACTTTATTCATATCCTTGAATAAGAGTCTGTCATTATGTTGTTTGATATATATCTCTTCAAAGTCGATTTTCCGTCTGACAAGTGCCTCACAGGTCCTAAGTGAATCGGCATCTAGTATGTCATACGATGCTTCATCGCATTGAGTACAATTCTTTATTGAACTTTCCATTATACTAATTCCTTTTTGTTTTTGGAGAAATAATTATCTATCTATCTTTTTCTATTTTTGCCTTTTTGGTTCCAGAAATTTGATTGTTTGACGCTTTTACATGTTTTACTTGGTTCTTTAACTGTCTCTATAATTATATATCTATTCAAAAAGACCAAAATTGCCGCTTTATTTTATTTGTTCAATTTGGATTTCTTTCAACTTTTTGTTTTATTTGGGCTTCGTTTAGAAAAGCGTTATAGAAAGAATTACTGGAGTGGCTGTTTTATCTTGTTCGTTATTTCGTATTCAATAATAAGCTTATTTTTTAACCCACGTGGCCAATTTTATACACTTGGGTGTCTATATGGCCACCATTTATTATATGCGCTTGCGTTTTCATGTGGTAAACGACGATCAACTGGAGTTTTATGGCCCTGACCAGGATCACTTTGAGTGGAAATCCGTGATGGGTGGTTTGAATTAATATTTTTGCAAACGGCACGTAGCAGGTTTTATAGATAATAAATCGGATTTTCAACATAGCTTTAGGTTTATACCTAAACGAAACACGGCGAAAACCCAGCTAGTTGGATGACCTCGTCGCTTATTTCAAAGCGGACAAACCTACAATTATCTTGTGCCTTCATAACTACGTTCTTTGGCGCAGACATGCGCCTCAAGTTACTCCTTTTGCAGCTGTTTTCTTAAAATACAGCGAAAGGATTTGGATATATGTAGATGAAGTACATCAACTAATCGGATCGTGCGGGTGGTAAAATTCTTGGGAGGGTTTGCTGCTGGAGCATGCAGGAGGGGTCTTCATCAAACAAGCGCTTATGTGATTTAGGTTCTCACGACATAACCCGTTTTCTTCTGATAGACTAGGTTGGTTTCATCGTTGACGAGTTGATGAAATCTTCCCATTCCTCTTGCTATGTTACTCGGTCCAGCTCACAACGGCTGTCTCGGTTTTCTACTACCTCACACAGAGCCAATAATTGTTGCAGTGATACTGGAACAATTTTTACTGATAGAAGTAACAGTAATAATGTATACAGTATCACTGTTAGAAGTCTTGTGACAGTCTTTTTCATTCGTATGTGTGTTCGTCTGATGCTAGAAAGGAAGGTCAATTAGACTGTATATGCTTCAATTGAATTTCGGTTTTGGTTTGCTCTAAGACTCAAGCTGAGGAGAGCTTTTCTCAGATTCTATAAAATCCCTGGCATGAGGTCTGTCTGATTCATGACAGAAGTTTATGTTTCTATTGTTAGGAAGTCTGGCGGTGAAGGGTAAGCTCAATCGGAGTAATAAGTAATTAGTTTACAGAATATGGAGTTTCCGATGAAGGGCGTGGAGCATAAGTACATCGTGACAGAAGTCGGCAATAGAGTGCACTGCGTGGTCGCGGGAGCTGGTAAGGGCTACCATTTCATTTCATTCATTTCACTGCCCATTCATTTCCTCTCCGTTTGCTCCGTTCTGAGGAAGGACCTATACTGATGGGCAAGAAGATCGAGCACTTTACTGTCGCAAGTGTGAGCGATGTACGTCTTCACTCCTTCACTGGACTTCCTTATTCCTGTCATCAGTATGTACCCTTATTGGACACCAAGTCTTCCCACAGCTTGTGATTGCAATCCAAGCACCGTTGTCAGTGGATCGTGTTTGGGGTGTCGCTTCTTCAGGACCTCCGGTGTTGCTTCTGCATGGCTTTCCAGAGTTCTGGTACAGCTTTCGCTACCAAATTCCAGCTCTGGCTGCTGCTGGATTCCGTGTTATCGTTCCAGACACTCGAGGTGCAGGCGAGTCAGAAATCGTTGAAGCAAGCGACAAGTACATGTGGAATGACATAATCGGTGATATAGTCGCCGTCTTGAAAGGCCTCAATGTGACTGAGAAGGTAAGACTCGGTAAGGCATTCGACCCTGAGAGTTAGCATTATCAACCACATTTCAAAACGCTTATGTAACATTCGGAGGAATATCTATGAATCACACTGATATCTTCTTCAGATTAGCAGTCACAAAGAGGACCATCTATCAGATGAGATGCAATTCCTTCTCTGATGAAGTGCACTTAATTTCCCTTTCATGTGGCATCTCATTTTTACACAATCTTTTATATTCGATACTGACATTGAACGAGTGCATCCACCACTTGCAGGTCCTTGTGATTGGACACGACTGGGGAGCTTGGTTCGCCGGGCAACTATCACGAATCCGACCTGACCTCGTCCGAGCCGTCGTTTATCTGGGTTTCGTTCCTTACACATGGAGAGCTCAACTAACCCTCGTGGAGGACTTGCGCCTTGTTTTCGGCGATGAAGTATATATACATGTTTTCCAGGTATCTCTACCGCTTTCTCAGTTTCGAATCGATATCAGGTTTGTATAATTAATCGGTGCCATATTATCCGAATGCCTCTGCTGTCTCATGGTCATTGAAGAAGGAATAACTCACTGTTTGGATGACCGGGCTTGAAAAGATGTATTTATATATTTCCTGCCTGAATCCAGCCTGCTATTTTTGGTTCCTCAAGCTCTGCTGTGTAAAGTGTTTGTCGTGGCCGAGTTGTCATAAGTTTCGGAACTGTGTGATTTCATTTCAGGAGCCCGGGCGGGCAGAAGCTCTGTTTGCCAAGGAAAAGACATCTTCTTTGATGTTGGCTTTTCTCAGTCGGTGGAGCGACGATCCCCAACTCCGTATTCCAAAGGTTTCCTCCGACAAAGAAGAAGCCCTACCAGATTGGATCACATCTGCAGATCTCCAATTCTATGCAGATACTTTTGATAAAACGGGATTCACACCCAGTTTGAATGTGTATCGCAATCATAAGAGGTTGGTTGTCGACTTGAACCTTGTGTGGGTATCGAACTGACGTGAGATGGCAGCAGAGTAGCTTTCAAGATGGTTTGCGCAAGTAAAACTAGACTGCACTGTGTGACCTCTGCGATCATCATTGAGTGTAGAGAAAATGTATGTCTTCAAGGCCTAACATAGATGTGATTGTCTCCTTTTTGCTTTCAGCATGGATATCATCAAAGCTGTTTAGGATCCCTGGGACATGTGTTTAAGCTTTTGCCAACAGCAACTCACAATGCCTCCAGGAGTATGATGTCTGCATGTTCATAATCGAGACACTCATTTTATATTGTTAATGAACGTTCTTGATTGCGAGCAAATGTGCAGGTCTACCGAGCTGAATGCTCCGTTTATAGACAAGATTCTCGATCATCCGTCATTATTATTTAAGGCTTCGAGGGATATTGGCTACCTACACGTTTCAAACTTTCACACATCTTTGGATCCAGAAGAAATACTTGCTGCCAACAAACCTCAATATCCCAATCTTCAGAAAGTCGTTGTAATTGATGCTAATCACTTCATGCACCAGGAGAAGCACGAGGAGGTAAACAAAGTTATCATCGAGTTTTTAATTTCTTGCCCCCCATCTTAGTTAAATATCGTCCGCCCATGTTTATATATAGTTGAGGTCAGGTTTAGGTGTCATGATCCGAGTTGATAATGTGACAGTTGTCGTAGGCCGAAGTACATCCATATTCAATCAGCAACAACTCGATAATTGCTCGTTATACCTTATTTTTGTTTAATATTTTGAAATTTTTACTTTAATGAGTCGGGCGGTCCAGCTAAGCTGGAAAAACTTGATTGTATTGCAGTCTGGTGTTCTGTAAGTAACTGATCAATATATGATTAGGATAAGGTTAGATTCTAGCTCAAATAAAATACTTTAGGAAACGATATTATTTATTAATTTCATGATCAAATTGTAGTGTTTTTCGTTTATCTTTTGCATTAGATGTTATTTTTGTAAGATTTTTTTCCATCAATTGTTAATAGCAATAGTTTATGTTATTGATCTTTTGTTATAAATTGTGATAATATGGATCTTATATGAAACGTCAAATTTTTTTGCCATAAATTAACATTGTATTTCATAAAAATATTTAGTTTTCTCATTCAAACTCTTTATTTTCAACTTTGTTTCCAATTTTTTCAACATCTGAAAACTATATGCACATTTAAAAGTTGAATATACTATATGAAATCATTTTACTCCGATTCATTAAGTGCCGATTTTGAAATCTCATCATGTAAAAAAACAAACACATTATTTTTAAACCATGCTAGAATTGTTATAATTCTAATTTTATTGAAAAGATTATAATTTACAATGAACATACATTTTCACATCAAAACCAGAATGTAACAATTCCATATTTAATATGAGATTATATATTGGGAAATTTTCATATCACAAAGAAGAATATATCATCTTACTTCAAGTTGTCTGTTCATTTTATAGTTTTAAACAGTATTCTTATCATCAAATTTAAATCTTTTTCCCGTTAGACTATAAAGATAATCAAAAAATTTCAATACAATTCATCATTGCATTCCAAAGATGGATTTAATATACAATGTTCAATCCAATTGTGTTAACCACAAAAAACTATCTATTGTTTTATACTTTTGTTCAAATCTTTGTATTTGTCATCTATTATCAAAATTTATAAAATTTTTTTCAGTGTTTCAATTTTTTAAATATCGATCTCTACTTTCTTCTATCTCATGTTGACTTGATGTGACAAGCTTTCAAGAAACTCAAGGTGAGTGCGAAGCAAGCCTCTTGAACATGTTTCATCATAACATCAAACATGAGCTAGTAGAAGAATTAAGTTCCAATATTCAACAATTTGATTGATGTCAATGATCATTAGGTTGTATTTTCCTCAACCGTCATGTGATCAAGCTGGATTTTCAAATGCAAGTAGGAGAAGGAAACATTAAGATTATATGCGATGAGCCATCACATATAGTTATGTGAATGATATGTCATCACTGATGACAAATCATCCAAAAAAATAAAAAAACAAAAATAATTCCTTCAGAGATCATTTGATTTCTAAACGAAATAATCAATCTCTGGAGAGAGAAGATATAGAGAAAAGTAAATGTGTGATGTCCAAATGCATGAAGACACTAGACGGAGGATCAAAAAAGTCATCAAATTTCGAACACGAAGGCAAATAAATCCCGATTGATGCCCCAAGTGCTATTGCAAGGGGGCGAATCAAGCCGCCAATCCATAGAAGATTTGCCATTGAGCCTGTTCATGAAGTTGGCAGTTTGCAACTTCTGGGCTGACTTTCACTTAGGATTACCTAAGATGGCTTTGTGCTCATCATGGTTATAGAAAATTAGGATTCTGACTTATACTCATGTCTCAAACACACTCTCACACAAACTCTCTTCACATCAATCTATTCACATAAACTCAAACACACGTCGATACTCCAAGATACTAAAAAACCAAGGCTTAACGCATAGGCGCGTAATAATTTGTCAACAAAGATCAATGTAATCTTTTGATACTAACTTGTTTTTAATGTTTGTCCGACTTTTTGTAACAACAAATAAATACCAATTTGGAACAGAATAGTACAGATCCGATTACACAAGGACAAAAACAATACCAGAGATTCAAATATTGTCACAATTAACATGTTATTGAAGATTTTTATTTCTCAAACGCATGTCATTTCCAGAAGCATTTGTAATTGTTAACCCAAAGGCGATACAAATGTAGGGTGTAATCACATCCAAATCCTGAAATTCATCCAATAAACATCACAAATGTCGCAAGTGGATCTGCACTTAATGTTCAGGGGAGAAACTTCCCAAGATTACACGCTTAGCCGACTGCACCGAGCAACCAATCTACAGGTTTGCTTATATCCTGAGTTACATTATGCACCACTCAGATCACTCGAGTTGGATACTCTACTTCAGATGTGGTATCTTCGACAAATCGAAGCAACTCTCGCACTGTGACAAAACGCACAACTCACGAACGTGTGGAGGAATGTAGACTTAGGACTGAAAACTGTTTCATGGAAAAGCCCCCCAAGGCAAAGCCTTGAGCCTCTTTATTCACAACAAACACCCGGAGGCATCATCTGCTAGCTGCGAGCTCCCATCAGGTGCGACGTCCACGGATGCAGCAGTTGCCACTCCCGCAAAGCTACTGTTTACTGCCATTCTACACAACTAAGACATTGTTCTACTCTAGCTCGCAAACCTATATCTGTCTGTTGTTCGAGATGTCGGATGGTCGCCTCAATCTCCATCAATTTTGCCTACGTTGGGACCAACTGCTCCTCAACTGCCAATAGTGGAGATCGCTACAATCTGCATCCAACCGCATTTGCTGCAATCTGCATCCAACTCCCTTCTTCGCTCCTTCTCCAAAGATCGGACAGCTTTGCAATCAGCTAATTAATTTTCCTATCGACCTTATTCAACAACCACAAACTGCCCCCATGTCGCCAAATTTGTTGTCAGCTCCTCCGTGCGATGAAATTCTCTCTGAAATGCTACTCCAGATAATTCCAATTTGACCCGAAGTTCTACCATCATCTTCTACGCTGTGCAAATGTCAACCCAAAGGCACTTGCACTCTAGCTCCTTTTGCATACAAAGGCTCCTTTCAGAATCTAACTATCACCGAAGTTATTCGCACTCCAACTCCTTCGCACAAAGTTGTTTTTCCCGCTCCTACAAGGTAATTGTCATGGTCGCACACTTAGAAGTCAAGCTTGCAACTCGTTTTGTCACCCCAATAGTTGCTTACGCCTTTGCTTTCGTCCTTCTGTGCACTAGCTCTACATAAGATCCCGCCAAAGTCGTTGGCACCGAGTATTTCACCATCTTCCTATCTAAGTACTTCACTAACGCCCCTTAAAACCCTAAACTATTCTATCACTCAAAAGATTAGACAAACTAAATTCTGCCAACTTCGGTTTGATGACCAAAGGTACTCCACGGTCAAATTCAGCTACAGCCGAAGACACTTGACACGAAGGCATTGTCGGTTGCTCTACGACAGTCTTATCCAAACTGCTCCAAAGGCCTTTTGCCTAAAGGAGAAACCTCCGCAGACTTCTCAAACTTTGTGCACATGTCCGAAGATGTTTTGTCCGAAGGTCAAAGATTTTTGGCCGAAGTCGCTTTGTACTGATCCGAAGGCCGAAGACGTTACCCAAAGTCTTGGTCTCGATCTCATCTTCTATTTCTTCGCCTTTAACCAACGATACCTTCATATGCACATCTGAAAGTCGTCACTTTGAAGGTTGAAGGTCTTATGCCGAAGGCCATTCGTCTTCCGTTCCTGCTTCCCGCACTCCCAGTACAGTCCAATCTTCCGAAGACAACTGAGGTTGTGATGTTGCCTCACTTCACTGCGTAAGCTCTACTTCTTTCTTTAATCTGCGTCGTGCCTTCACCTTACTGCGGACATGCGTACTCGTCGTACTCATACGCGCTGGAGCTTGTCTTCTGATTCGCAATCGGCTACATCGGCCAACAACTTCTGAAGCGGAAGGCGTCTGCAATTTCCTTTGCTTCTTCGCAAATCTTTCCTCAACATCATCGTCAGACATGTCAACTTTGACCGAAAGCTGGGCAGGTTCAACGTCATCATTGTCATTGACAACTTCATTTCCTCCCAAAACTCCTTTGTACTCTTATTCCACAATCTCCCTCTCGAGCAAGAATTTATGATTCTCTTTCTTTGTCAACTATCCCATACCTCGATAGAAATTGATGAAAAACAAGGACATATAATTCATCGATCACCCGAACATGTCTTTGACGTTCCTGTCGTTAACACTCCACAAGATTCAAGCTTAGTGGATTGGCTTTCTCGCCACCGTGCGCTCCACAAATTCTACTTGCCAAATTGCCATGTACGTCATTCGTGAAGGTCTCAGAATCTGCATCAATGCCACCGCCACATTGAGTCTCAGCGGGTCGTGGTAATCTGTCGACCGCCACCCATTCTTGGTCGAAAGAGGTGGCTTGAACAACTTTGCGAACGTCTTCTTTTCTAGCTGTGTCACCTTCACGCTTTGATTATCATAGAGGTAAGTGACTGCGTGCCTTGCACACGGCCCAAAGACTTGAATCCATTGCTTAATCGTCCAGGATTGCCACAAATCCCATTGTCTTCTGGCGCGCGTCCCTCATGCCATTTCTTCACAATCGTCGCGGAAACTCAATTCCAACACCACAACAAGAAATTGAACTTGGCAACTATCAACTCATTGCGAAACGTTCTCAATCTGAACTCCGGCATTCTCAATGCTTTCAATCAAAGTCTCAAAACTCGCACCATTGTTGCGCTCTCAATTGCTCACTTGCAATCCTCGCTGAATTCCCAATTCGTAAATGAATTCTCCCGAAATGTCGGTGCGGAACTCCCGTTTCTGCTATTGTCTCTTGACGCCATAACCGCATCATGAACTAGTGTGAATTGTTGATACAAAGGCCAAAGTTTTCTTCTTGTCGGTGCTGCCTTTTACTATGCCGAAGACCCTTTTGCCGTAAAGCCGAAGGTGTCAAAGCTGAAGTCCAAAGGCGGGTTTAGGGTACTCCTTCGCTTTCGTACTTCCATGATAGTCACTTCCTACACTCGTAACTTGGTGAATCTTTATCTGTTTCACAAGTTCTTTGGCTCGTTAAAACAAGCATGCCGAGCTTCATTTATCAAAATAATTTCTAAATCAAATCACCTCTAATTGACAAAGTTATGAAGTATTTACTCTAGTAGATCATAGTCCATCTAATTTGACTTTATTGACTGCAAGTAAAAACACTAACTCCAGCAGAGATATATCTAACATGAATTACTATTTTTAACTTGTCATCTACTACAGAATTTTTTATTTAGTCCATTTATAATTATTCTCACTATAAAAGTGAAAATTTCTATTAATCTATTCTTCAAAGTTCATCTATTCGAAAAAAAATGAAAAACTATGTTACCACACTTTTACACGAGCTGATTGCATCTTTCCAACATGTAGAAGCCTCGGAAACACTATGGGCTAATCGCTCGGAAGGCAGCTGCATTTACACGGACATTATCTTCTACCAACAAGCATGCTGGCACTCAATCTATTGACCAATTTTGCAGTTTTTGGATTGACCGCCGAGAACTGTAAGGAAGGAAGATTTGGCTCCAAAATATGTAGACCGAAGATGCGAAGGGCATGCGAGCTTACCTGAAGAGAGAGTCTCCAACATTGATGCATAGAGCTCCTAGCATAGGAGCAACGTCGATCCATCCGCCTCCCATTCTTATCTGCAGACCACCGACCTCATCGTGTTGTAGCAACGTGAGGCGATTGGGGTATGCATGGGGCCAGTATTTCTCCGTGGGTTTACATCCTACAGTTAACTCCATGTTACTTAGGGTGTCACAAAGTAATCATGATATAACTTTATCTGTGGTCGCTTCATGAGTACTTGGCTCAAATGAGCATTACATGTAGCAATTCGATGTAAGCAACTAACTACCACTGAGATACTCGTGGTTGATGAGAGCAGCTTCAGTGATCACGTTGGACCTTAGGCATGTACTACCTTGTTCTTTCATCAATGCCATGGTTCCCCTCTAGCAACGGAGCAGACGGCACGGAATCTGATTAATGATCAACTTATATACTTCATGGAAGGATTTCCCTCGGGCCAAAGCCTTCTGGCTAAGGGCTCCACATCAATGCCTCTCGCAGTATGACTTTTTTGTCCATGGAGTGTTGGTTTCGAAGTTATTTCCTTTCATTCTGCTCCGTACGGTTCCGGAGGTTGGATCCTTCTCTGCATCTCGCAATGCTGAGATGTCAAACTATCTTACAACTCCGGATTCTTGAGCATGGACATTCGTAGTAGACTTGTTGTGTTTCATCTTCTCAATCCTCACAAAAGAGGGTGGCAATTGCGTTGTGCTGATCTCTTGAAGAAGGCAGTGAATGGTGACGACGTTGTCACAATGACGGACGAGCCGATGTCTCGACGGCTGCGGCCATGATTGATCGGCTGTTGAATCAGATGTGCATGTAAGTGGAAAGCTTGGAATGAGGCTGGTCTATGCCTCAAAGGTGCCGCAGTCTGAGTTGAACGTGAGAGTGAGGAGTTTAGAGATGGAAGTGCAGTGACATGTCGCGGGAACATGTCAGGAGACCTTAGGAAATGCATGCATGTGGACAATTTCAATCTTGTCTCTTGATTTCCAGTCATCCTGCCAGCGGAAGGAACGAACTATGGAATGTTCTGCACCCGACTTTGTTTTCATCGTTAAGCGTATGTCTTCACACACAACTGTTCCATGGATTCCTGGAAGACCTCCTCCGTCATACGTCGGTCCACAAGCAAATTCCGTTGATTTTTTTTCCCCAAACGAATCATCGTTTTGGCGTCTTGGACATGGACAACAACGAGATACCGGATCGGACTCTACGAAGGCCAAAGCCAATTTGGATGAGCCAAGATAACGATAAAACCCCACCTTCGATCATATTAAATTGTGCAATATCCTTTGACTAGCGACTCGAGACTTCTGGACAGAGATTTTGACCAATGTTTTGCGTGATGGGACAAATTTTAAGGCTAGTATATTCCAGATCTGCACGGTTGAAATATACCTCAAACATAGTCGTCTCTCGAGTAAGTGATGATTAGAAATTCAGGGAAGATTGAAATGTATCTAGTTTTATATAAATAATATTCACAGCTGATGTAATCTTTACACTAAAATCAAGAAATTTAAATTTTTTAGAATTTGTCGTACAGGATTCCAGTCAATTAGAAAACTTGCCGGTGAGAGCATGACTAACTGCAAGTATACAGGTAAATTCGAAATTTAGTTGGACTTTGACTATGTACAAAATGGTTTCAGTAGATGATACAGCTTCGCTATCATATTTTACTCGAAGAGGCCTGAGTAGCAGAAGGAATCATGCTTCACAGCTAAGTAAGGACGGAATGGAACAAGCCGATCAGCATAGAGTTATATGAAGTGAATGACGAGAGGATTGCCACACAGGTCGAGCCAGTTGGAGTTCTACATACTTCGATGCAGAACTCCAACGTTAGCGATCGATTGGCAGTACAGATTTTCAAACAGAAGCTTCCTACAGAAAGCAAAAACTTTGTCTCAACCTCGTGATCCGAAGCCAGCTGGTATGGTCAAACCAAGTGTAGTCTCGCTGTTAAGGTGGATCCAAAAAGCCTAATTACGATAGAGACCGCTGTATGGTATCACATAAGCGGGCAATTTGAAAGCCGTGAGAGCCTCGTGAGGGCTGCACTGGCTCCTACGTTGCCTTCTACATTCATGGATTGTGAGTATATTTTTGTTGATGAGGAAGCATCACCTCCACTAAACTCCATGGCTAACACCTTCGTCTGGACTCACCAATAATTTGATCGTTCTTGCAGTTGTCCCACTGGCCCACACATTGCTGAAGTAAGTACTGATGGAAGCTGCTAGTTATCAGTTTGCCACTCTAGGTGATCAGTACCTTTACTCTCCCTACATCGGGATTCGAGACGGTGGTTTACTTTCACGCTAAGCTCCATGAAAGCGATTCCGAAACCCAGATTTCTGGTGGATCTTCCGAACAAAGGGTCCTACTACCAGAACTCATTTGACTAGAAAAACAAAAACCATGTTCGTGCTTTGCTCTCTCTCAGCTCTCTCTCACTCTGACTCCTTTTAAATCTTTCAAACTTCTACCTAAAAGGTTCTGCGCTTTGGTCAAGCCCAAGCATAAGAACGAAATGAGCACAAGTTCTTCAGACAGCGAGAAGAGAGGAGAGGACAGGCAGACAGTCTATCGTGGGCATAAAACTCGTCCAAAAAAATGGACTGAGTCTGTGGCTTTAATGATGATCGAGCTAGCAAACAACATGTAAAAGAGCACGTTCTTCAGCAGGCTTCAAGCGGCGAAACATTCTCACAACATCTGCGTTGTGTCTGGTAGTCCCTCGGTGATGCGACAATTCTAAGTACAGGAGTGCTCCAACCATGCAAATAAACCCCAAGTGATGTTCCAGATTGGAAGAGCCTGACTGAAATTGGTGGATAATCTAAATTCAGTTCCAGTACAAGGGAGCGGGGAACAATGTCGACCCGACTATCTAGATCTGGAAAAATTATTCCAAAAAGAATGGTTTATGGAATAGTTGCTCCGAAAGTGTTTTGTGTTTGACTAGCTACGAAACCTCCTTCCCTGTAGTCCTGGACGTGCTCGTGGCCGAAGAAGTTCAAAGAGAGCGAGGAGCATTTCTCTACTGCTACGTGACTAACTATCACTCAACTGGTAGCCGACCGAATGATATGGACGATACAGCCTAACGAGTCTTCTACGGGCGTAATCACTCCAGCAGAGCTCGCAATTCTCACGACGAACTGCGAGCTGATCACGAAAGAATCAATGAATGAATAGATGAATGAATGAGCGAGCGAGCGTCAAGTCTGAGTCGGATGATGAGGTGAACGATCGATGGGTGATCGCCTCGGTTCAAGGCTGCTGCTGGGCGGCGATGTGGCCGTGGTCTGCCAAGACCTTCTCGCGCTTGGCGGCCTCGAGGTCGGAGTCGACCATCATGGCCACGAGCTGCTTGAAGTCGACCTTGGGCTTCCAGCCCAGCAGCTCGCGGATCTTGGCGGACGAGCCGCGCAGGTTGTCGACCTCCGAGGGCCGGAAGTAGCGCGGGTCGACCTCGACGTGGTCCTGCCACTTGAGCCCGAGGTAGCCGAACGACTCCTCCAGGAACTCCTCGACCGTGTGCGAGTCCTCGGTGGCCACCACGTAGTCGTCGGGCTTCTCCTGCTGCAGCATGAGCCACATGGCCTCGACGTAGTCGCCGGCGAATCCCCAGTCCCTGGACGCCTTCAGGTTCCCGAGATACAGCTTGCTCTGCAGGCCGACCTTGATCCGTCCCAAGGCTCGGGTGATTTTGCGCGTGACGAAGTTCTCGCCTCGGCGCGGCGACTCGTGGTTGAAGAGGATGCCGTTGCAGGCGAACAGGCCATACGCCTCGCGGTAGTTCACGGTGTACCAGTGAGCGGCCACCTTCGAAACTGCGTACGGACTGCGGGGATGGAACAGAGTGCTCTCGTCCTGGGGAGGCGGCGTGGCTCCGTACATCTCGGACGACCCGGCCTGGTAGTACTTCACTTGCCTGCCCGTGGTCTCGATGTGGACGCGGACCGCTTCCAGCAGCCGCAGTGCGCCCGTGGCAACCACGTCCGCCGTGTAGTCGGGGTTCTCGAACGACACGCCGACGTGCGACTGCGCTCCCAGATTGTAAACCTCGTCCGGGCGGATGCTGTCGACCCACTTCCGCAGAGCGGATGCGTCCGTCAGGTCGCCGTAGTGCAGCTTCATGCGAGCGCTGGACTTGTGCGGGTCGATGTAGATGTGCTCGAGCCGCTGCGTGTTGAAGTTGGACGAGCGGCGGATGATGCCGTGAACTTCATAGCCCTTCGCCAACAGGAACTCTGTCAAGTACGAGCCGTCCTGTCCCGTGATTCCGGAAATCAGGGCCTTCTTGACGGCAGAGTCAGCAGCCGGCGTCGTCTCGATGTCTGCCATGATTGCCGAGAATCTGAAACCAATCGACCGATTCAGAACTTGTCAGGAGAGATTATAAACTGCGGTGCAAAAGCGCAGAACTAAATAGAAATTGCTGTCACCTAGCTCGTACTTGCAGCATGCACACGCTCATCTCATGCTGGGCCCTTTACATCAACAGGTAAATTCGATTGAATTCGAGCTGATACTTACGATCAAACTGGCAGCCGCTGCGAAACTTGCCGCTGATGAGCTCTGCCAGTCAAACTCAAGCTCGACTTGGGTTTGAGTCCGATGGCTTTGGCTCAAATTCCCTGTGCTTTCTGAGCTCGATTGCTGCTCATACATATACTCTTGGGCCTTCCTGAGTCTCCAGTTCCTGAGGCGGCCCCCTGCACTTCCACGATCGAGTGAGATATCAACAGTGGAAATATCAGATGACGTGCCAACGTTCGCACGTATTGTCCGATACGAAATACAGCTTCTGCTGTTAGATGCGGTCGGAATGCACGCTGCTTGTTGTTGGGCCATAAATTTGGGTGTCACATGAGATTTGAAGTGAACAAGAATTTAGGTAGATATGAGTTAAATAAGTCCTTTGCAGTTGGTGACCATACCAACTGCGATCGTGATTCGGTATTATGAAGCTTCTTGGCTCGAAGACCTCGTTTGCAAGTACTGAGGATTCCCTCCCTCTCGAAGGAAGCCTCGCCGAAATTCATGCCTTGAATCCGGGTGCGATTGTGCTTCCGACGGGCCTGCATGCCATGGAACGGCTGTTGCTTCAGTTCCATCCTCACGATCGTGACTAAGATTCCTGGAGCGTCACCGTTCTTATGACCTTCAATCAAAGATCGAGGCTTTTGGTGTACAGTGACGGCCGATCCCGACATTAATTCGCACTCATTCACTTGACTTCGTCGATTTGTTCCTTCATAGATCTGGAGCATTATGATTCGCAAGAACAGCGTGGCAAGAACCAGAGGCGTTTCCTTGTCGCGGAAGCGATGACGTCAGGCTCGAGGAGTTGACAACTATTCATTGACATTGATTTAGGAACTCTCGTTCTGCATCGACGCAGTTCTGACGATGTCAAGCACAGCAAAACAGGTGCCTTTATTCCATCGAATATATACTTCAATTTCGATCATCCATGCATCAGATCAGAGAAGCGCTCGAGGCCTACCTAAGGACGGTCCACCAACTCCTAGCTTTACCAAACCACGATCCAACTAAAGGATGCAAGATCATCTCTGATCGAACTCACAGATCGGTTGACTTGCCTTGCCTAGCCTTGTCCTGATGAAGTCCGACATCAACCTTTCATCAGATTTGGTTTGGAAATTTGTCGTTAGATTTCTGGCGACCACGTTGCCGATGAAGATCTAAGACGCTTCGAGCGACTCAAATCGAGCTCGTGTGAGAAGTTCCACTTCTCACACGATTGAATAGAAGAGAAGTTCCACTTCTCACAGAAGATTGAATACACGTAACTGTACAAAAATATATATATTTAAGTGGGTTATCGTGCAACACTACGAAGTTCCAATGGTTACCATGAACTTTACTCGCGACGAGGGCGGTCAGCTACTTGGTAACACATCCCATCAGACGCGAAGAGAAGGAGAAGGATGAACAAGCACCGGGTCCAGGTCCAGGTCCAAGGCAGGATTTGAGTAAGGTTTGAAACTCGAGTGCATGGGTGCGGCACCGAGATGTCGGTCCAGATCGTACTCATACAGTTCGAAGTTTGTTGCCAAACTCCACATGCTGAAGGCGGCTTAGTGATCACGATGATTGTACCCGAGGGTCACGAAATCTATCGAAGAGATTTTCGTGTGCCATGATCCAACACAGTTGATCATGAGACTCGCAGCTGCAGCATCTCAAGACTATACTGTATACATCTGGCATAAGCCAATGGCACTCTCCCACTCCGGACACAAGCGCGTGATGTTTATTCCGCTTGTGTACCCAACAACTGTGCAATTGCATGCCATGGATCGTCGGATGTGACCTGGCATCCATGGAAATCAATCGAGTTCAATCAAGGTTTCGTGGACTCGAGAGCGCTTGGCAGCCGGCTGCAGGCGAGAGCTCGAGCAGCGTTGGCATAGCATGGCTTGCGGGCAGAGGAGAGAATATGAGACTCCGAACTGCAGGCACGATCAAAGAATGGCGAGAGTCTAGCGTGGGAGTGGGGCCAGAAAGATGCACACAGGTGCGAGCGGTGACTGGACAAGTGGAAACCTGAGCACGATAGATGGCTGGTCTGAAGGAGGTTCATGACGACGTGCGCCCCGCGTGGACCGTGCCAACTCTCGTGTCAAGGCCTCGCTTCGCGTACTCTGTTCTGACTGCCGAGAAAGTTGTAGTTTCACACCATCTGATACCAGATCCGACGATTCCAACCTAGTTCGCATTACTCTGCGTTTCTACACAATTTGCATATTCTCATTTCTGAATATTCCCCATTCGGCTAATTGTCCTTTCGGAGGAGTATAACAATCAGTCCGCGACGGACCTTCTAAGCGATGTGTGCTTCAGCTTGAGAGTTGCCAACGAAGAGCAGCGAATGCTGAGTTCTCAGTGACACCGGAGATCTCGTCCTTCCTTAACCTGTCGGTGAGTCTCGAGTTCATGATACATTATTTTGAGTGCTTCTCGTTTGTCCTGCTAGATCTTCAGAAGCGCATTTGGAAATAGGATCTCGTACGTGCTTGGTTGTGTGGGAATCCCTTCTTCGAAAACCCCGATACACTTTCCATTCTGCGATTGAAATCGTCCTTCATTCATGCGAATTCATTCGTGCTCGTTATCTAAATTGCCGTGGCTTTCAAAACTGTGCCCCGTTCTCTCTTAACCCAATCACGACGATCGTGTGCAAATCTTGCACTCACATTGTCGAAAGCGCTGAGTGCGCAAGAGACTTGAGTTCATGGTGGCGCTATAAGCTACCGAGAAAGAAGAACGAGGCTCAGTAGAGATGCCGATCAACAAAGTCGAGGCTGTCGGATGCGACCTGATCTACGACAGTAAGACACGAGGTCAATCACGTCGGTCACGGATTGCACGAGCGTCCGAGGTGGGAGTGTTCATGTGCCTGAGATTGCAACGGATGACTGACTTGTGGCAGACTGTGTGGTCGATCAGGTTAGCGAGGATTCAACATGGCAGACACTTCTGCTGCACCCGTGAAGAAGGCGCTCATCTCCGGTATCACTGGGCAGGATGGTTCGTACCTGACAGAGCTCCTGCTGAGCAAGGGCTATGAAGTGCACGGCATCATCCGCCGCTCTTCCAATTTCAACACGCAGCGGCTCGAGCACATCTACATCGACCCGCACAAGTCCAGCGCTCGCATGAAGCTGCACTACGGAGACCTGACGGACGCATCCGCTCTGCGGAAGTGGGTCGACAGCATCCGCCCGGACGAGGTTTACAATCTGGGAGCGCAGTCGCACGTCGGCGTGTCGTTCGAGAACCCCGACTACACGGCGGACGTGGTTGCCACGGGCGCACTGCGGCTGCTGGAAGCGGTCCGCGTCCACATCGAGACCACGGGCAGGGAAGTGAGGTACTACCAGGCAGGATCGTCGGAAATGTACGGAGCCACCCCTCCTCCGCAGGACGAGGACACGGTGTTCCATCCCCGCAGTCCGTACGCAGTTTCGAAGGTGGCCGCTCACTGGTACACCGTGAACTACCGCGAGGCGTATGGCCTGTTCGCCTGTAACGGCATTCTTTTCAACCACGAGTCGCCGCGCCGAGGAGAGAACTTCGTCACACGCAAAATCACCCGAGCCTTGGGACGGATCAAGGTCGGCCTGCAGAGCAAGCTGTATCTCGGGAACCTGAAGGCGTCCAGGGACTGGGGATTCGCCGGCGACTACGTCGAGGCCATGTGGCTCATGCTGCAGCAGGAGAAGCCCGACGACTACGTGGTGGCCACCGAGGACTCGCACACGGTCGAGGAGTTCCTGGAAGAGTCGTTCGGATACGTGGGCCTCAACTGGAAGGATTACGTCGAGATCGATCAGAGGTACTTCCGGCCGTCCGAGGTCGACAACCTGCGCGGCTCGTCGGCGAAAATCCGCGAGAAGCTCGGGTGGCAGCCCAAGGTCGGATTCAAGCAGCTCGTGGCCATGATGGTCGACGCCGATCTGGAGGCGGCGAAGCGCGAGAAGGTGCTGGCCGACCACGGCCACATCGCCCCGCAACAGCAGCCCTGAAGCCCGCTGCGATCGTTCTGTCTCTCGCCACGAGGTCGAGTGATGGCGAACGACTCCTTTCAGAGCCTCCGATGCGAACTCGAGCCAGGCCGTGTACGGGACCGAGCTCCAGAGCTTCGAGACGAGCCCTTCATGGCTCGCAGGTCGGCGTCCAGAGTCGCATCGTAGCTCCCCCGAGCCCATTGGACTGCTCGTCATAGTTTTCCTTCACATCTCGTGCGAAGTGAGCATGTGCGCAGCGATCATGAGCCGATCTCGGCGGCTGCGCAGTGACTGGTAAACGAGCTCAGTTCTTGCGATAGGTGAGGTTAGGATGACACTCAAAGGGGGTGGGTCCCGATAATGTAAAAATTGCCATCCGAATTAGGACAGATATTTTCCAGGTGTGGTCACATCAATCTCCGGTTTATTTGGCGGACCGGGGATGAATACGGGCAGAATCCGAACGGATTGTTGTCAAATAACTTAGTCCTGGCCTAGGTGCAAAGAATCAGCACTTCCGGGCCCGCCCAGCTTTTGCTTACATTAAGTCAGATGCGATTCGTCTGTCTCCATTTTTTCCAGTTGCGACTGGCATCAACACATTCAACATGGTTGTATCCCGTTCTCGAGGTTCGCACATGCACACAAAACGTTCTCTAAGAATGAAATCTGGTCTGCGTCATGGTTGAATCCGATTAGTGAACACATTGAAACGATAAATATTAGTTTGACCGCGGACGTGGCATAATGGAGGTCTGATACATGATCGTGGATGAACTGTGTGAATTTTCGATTATGCACGACCAAGGTGGTTTTCGCAGTGAATTCGACCAGACGGTCTGCTCTTTTCGTGGTGGTAGAAGGAACAAGAGAGGACTGTTATGGATGACTTCCCCTCCTTACTCGAAAGCGCTACATCGATTGCAGGCTCATCCTCTCTCTTATCCACCTACAAGCTCATTTGAAACAAAAACCTCTCGGCAGCATAAAAAACTTGTTCTACCATTAGCTGAAGACATGGAAACCCCACTTCACGTTTGAGATGTTGGAGGTCAGAACTATTTGATGAGAATAGACTCTTTGAGGTTCAACTTATTAATCGATCCCATATGCTTCTAAAACCTTGTTTGTCTGCGCAGCAGCATGCTCATCGTCAACACTGTCTGCCTTTAGACTTTCTGACTTCTCGGCTTCATTTGCCCTTGCGAAATCCGAGCTTAAGTCACTCTCGGCTTGATGCTCAAGAGCACCAGTACAATTTCGCTGGAGTGCTGGATCCCGTATGCTTGGTAGCTCTTGTTTCACCCTGGGCAGAGAATTCAGCTGTTGATCACCAGACAATGCACCAGGTTGAATAAATGCAAGCTCTTTCGTGGGCAACTGAGACACCCGCTGCACCTCGGCCTCGAGTGACCTTAAAGTATTTGGAGGTTTGTCCTCCACGCATGTATCGATGTCCATGTTGGTCTTCTCTTCCGACATTCTATTTTCAGCAAAGTCCCACTTTGATCTTTGAAGGTCAAGATCAAATCCAAAAGGTTGAGAAGATCTAGCTGGTGGAATAGTTGTTGTATTAAGTGCATCAACTCGACTTCCAGCCTCCACCTTGGACAACGAGAGGTCTACCTGCCCAAGGTGATCCACTCTCCCTCCGAAATAGGTCATCATTTCGTCCCGAAGCTTTACTCCACTGGCGACCGCACGTCCATCCTCAGAGTCTACTACGGCTTGCTCGGCCGACATTCCTTCGTGAGGCCCTTTCGTTTGTTCAGGAGACTTTACCAAAAATTGTTGCTCTTTCAAGTCTTGGCTTTGTTTACTTAAGTAACAAACTTCTCTTTTCAGGTTATCCACATCATGGATGAGAGTTCTCTGGATGTCGCGGATCCTCTCCATCAAAGTATTCTCCAGCTTTATGATTCGACCCAAAGCTTCAGCGAGCTCAAGACTAGGACTTCCTTGCACGAGCTGGGAGCCCTGCGGATCCTCTCCATCCGCCTTGATCTTGTCCGCTGCTTCTTCTTCTCTCGAATAGCTGTCCGGAGAGCTTACCGAGTGGTGGGGATTCGCGGTTCGGTTGCCCACACTTCCGCCTAGAAAGCTTTCCAGTGCGTCTTGGATGTCTTCCAAGTCCATCTCCATTTTGTCAAGTCGCCTGTGGAGTTTGACGGTTGCCGATTGTTGCCCTGCTTGGATGGATGAAACTCTTTCTTCCATAGATAATATCCTTTCTTCCACATCGTCTATAAGATGGCGCACCCGTTTGATATCTCGATGTAAAATGTTGCTCACAGGTTCCGGAAGCATGTCCATCGACTTCGGAAAAAATTGCTCCACATGCAAACTCCTCGTGGATTCTTGGGAGGCTAACTAGTAAGTAAACGCAACGAGCATTTAAAAGTAATAAACGACTCGATACACCAAATGGAGCCCCAAAGAGTGATCTCGACTCTCCAGACTTCAACTCTTCATACCTCGCGAGGCAGGCTCTCTTTGCGCGTCGTCTTCTCATGAACTAGGGCTCGGATCCAGAAGGCCAGCTGCACCATCCTGACAGTTCGAGAGTCGAGTTGGTAGAGATAACAATCGACCACTTCCTGACGCTCCGCCTTCAGAGATCCAATTCCATTCGTCACAATCTGAGCATGCTCGAGCACATGTTTTCATGGTCGGTCTAGTGAACTCAATACCATCGCGTCATAAAAGCTGAAGCTGGGGACATGCTAACGGCTTTGCTTTACGCTCCTGAAACATCACTTTCCGACCATTGGTATTTTTGTAGCTCAAAGGAGTATCTTCTGTCTGAAGGCCCATAGACGTTTGTCACGTATATTTCTATTCATCATATCATAATTTCATGCAGTCAGTAAATTGTATTGCTTGCAATTAGAAAATGATATCTTTGGTAGCAAAATCATAGCTTAATTAAGAAAAAAATTTGCTTTCAAGCATAAATAAATATCATATTGATGATTTACTTCTATCTAATATCATCACATAATATCAAATAATTTCAGGATTTATTAACATGATTATATAACATAAAACGTATTTTGAAGATATTTATATTATATATATGTTAGGCATATAGAAAAGTATGTGATATTACATTGTTAGTATATTATTATGAACAAACTATTGTCATCACTAGTTTCATAAACATGGATTTAGAAAGACAATACGATTTTGTTTTCATTTATATATACATATAATATTTTTCAAATATATGTTTGAACATCTGTATGTAGGTCTAATGTGTGTCACAAAAATATTAATGTATTTAATGATAGAGATTCAAACAAGAAACAAAACAAATGTAAAAAAACATATGACATACCATTTTAGATTACATACAAGAAATAATTCTGAATAATTTAATCTTTGTTAGTTAAGCTAGTTATTTATATTTATATAAATGAAAAAAATTACCTTACAAGGAATCAAGTGAATTTTCAGTCAAGGGAATTTGCTAAGTTGTATCAAGTTGTCATTATAGAAAACATATTAACTAGCTTACATAACAAAGATTAAATAATTCAGAAATAAATACTAACTTTATATCCTTAATGTATGTCTTGAAGTTTCTAACTTCTAGAATTAACATGATTATTTTACAAAAAGTTCAAAAACTAGACCAAATATATGTACTTTGTACACATATAGCTTAAAAATGATATTGTGAGTTTAAATAACAGAATTTCTAATAAACTTTACTTGTACTCTTCATAAAATAAAATATCACAATGTTTTTTATATATGTTTTTTTATATAATTGAATAGTTTTGATCAACGCATCAATTGAATTGAGTTTAAATTTAATCTTGACTAGCTTTACTTTATAAATTGAAACTTGTATTCTAATTAAATGGCATATGATATCAAAGTGCTTTATCTAACTCTTCATCACTTATTTTGTTGCAAGATCTTATGCATTCTAAATATATAAAAAAGAATGACAACATATTGTTAAATTTCAATTCAGTAGCAAATTTATACAATCAAATATTATTCTTCTTTTTTGCTACCGCTACATATGTTACTTTTATTGTTGAATGACCTATGCACTTTAAAAAAGTAGATAATTTACTAATATATCTGTCATCAAATGTAAACAGATATAAAATTATAGATTTTTTTCTTGTACATAAACAATATCAACATAGCATAAAAATGATTTGCCATTATGCAATAAAATCATGAAATAAAATACCATAATCTTTACTACATTCAAATTCCAAAAAATAACAAAAATAATACTATCATTGTTAGATTGATGGTTAGAAATTTTACACAATATAAAAAATATGCACTACAACAAATTTTTTTCCCATATATAGCAAAATATGTTACAATTTGATTAATTTTTTTTCTCAAAATTTATTTCACAACTCTCTAATGCATCTTTTTTGAATTTAACTTGAAATTGCTCATCTCTCTTTTTGAGCTAAAAAAAATTGAATGCATATCATCATATATATGAGAGTATTTATTACATTGTCATAGAAAATTGATGACATATATCTATTTTCAATAGTATTGGTTGGACATTAACAAATTGCTTAAATGTGTTGCCAAAAAACTTCATATTCCTTCAACTTTGCTATATTAAACACATAAAGCAATATTTTGTTGAACATACAAACTTTTTTGACTTCATTATAACTTTTTTAGTCAAATTGTTATGATTAACCTTATTTTATAACAATTTTAATTTCTCATGATTGTTGATGTTGGAACAAAGTTAAGTTGATTTTTGCATCTGTCAAAAGTTGAATTAATTCTTGTCAACATGAGAATGTCATTAGCATAAATCACTACAAAAATTAAATGAAATTCATCATTAATTATAATATATATTCATAAACATGCATTTTACACACCGAATGAAATGTTTTTTGCATTCATGAAATCATTTAATCTTGCATTACACAATCTAACAACTTGATTCAATCCATTTGATGATTTCATCAATTTACAAACTAACTCTCTTCAAACTCTTCTATTATGTTCAACTAATAATCTTTATAAATTTTTAGTTTAAAGATGAAAAATTATTTATATTATAACTATTTTACTAAGATTCGCTTTATATCATTGAAAAAATTCATCATACTAAGAATTCTATGCAATTATGTAATTTTGATTCAGTTTATTATGAATATGATTTATGAAAGATATCAAAGTTGCAAGTTACGTAAGAGAAGTGTGTGTACTGATAGATGCAGTCTTGTGAATGATTCTAAGGTCAAAAACTCCCGGGTTCAATTTGGACTCACATATTGTGAGGATTGTGCAAGATTTTTGATAATTTAATAGATTAAAAGTTTTTGGCTTGTAATTTATACTTATTGCCAAGACCTTGGACTCTAGAGAACTCAAATAATATTTGAGATGAACTTAAATGTGTTTTCAACTTTGAAAATGCAATAAAAAAAAAGTTCAGTGAGAATAGAAGATGAAAAAATGTATGTTTTTGTTCTATTTGATGGGTTGAAAATAATCTGAGTCAAACATATATCAATCTATAATGCAACTCCAAAAGATTCAAAAAATTGAATCAAAGTACATTCCAACAACGTGTGAAACTTGAATTTTATAAAAAATGAAAGAATTGGTGAACTGGGTCGTGGTTATAAAGACATGTTGACATTTTGATGATGTTTTTTGTGACGAAGTGAATTCAGCTTTGGAAAGTCAGAAAATTTCAACTTTCTGTGGTATTTTCTTCCTACAAATTTTTTTCAAACATTCCGCATTGAAGGAATTGAGTGCTTGGATTTTTTACACCACAAAATACTTAAAATTGTGACTTGTGGCATTCAATAAAAGAAATATTCATAACATTTCAGTGAGAGCATAGTGAATTCTTCATTGATGTTACGAGTAAGACTACAATTTCAATTTTGGAGCTTATTTGAAATGTTTTCTTGAATTAAAAAAATATTTTAAGCTTAGATTTGATTCATAATAGTTTTGAGTACCTTCAATAACTTTCATTTCTTACTAAAATTATAAAAGATAATTGATTTTATCAAGATAAAATGGTTAGAGATCCAAGAAGATCTATAGTTGCAAAGCATATATCTTATGTGAAAAAACCATATGCATCTTACTCATCTAAATTAAAATAGAAGTATGTTGCTAAATCCATGTAATCCTCTCAAAAACTAAGATAAAACTAGCAACTAATTTACATAATATTTCAGATGTTAAACAACAAGAGTTGGCTATTGAAAGCTTTTTGTCCAAATTTAGATTATTTTCATTGAATTTAATTGCCTTGTTATAAGATATTGCAATTTTTTAGCTAGAATTTGCAATAAAAATCACAGTTTTAAAGACTATATGATTTCAATTTGGTGAAATGCTTTGAAGTCTACATTCAATTTTTTTGATTCTGATCCAAGTCTTCAAATCTTTTATTGAATTAGCAAATGAAGCTATGTACTTTGCTATCAAAATTGCTTAAAAACATATTATGATATGACATATTAAATGCAATTAGTTTTAATATTTACATCCAAGGAAATGAAGATAATGATGAGTACTATGATTTTTATATTTCACTTTTAAACTTATAATTTTGTATGATTTTTAATTTCAATATTTTATTCAACATAAAATACAAATCAATTTTAAATTTTAAAATTTTTTTATCAATCATGTGAATAAAAAAACATATAGTCAAGAAAAAAATAAAAAAAATTTTAAAAAATTAATTGGAGCATTGTTATGAACATTTAAAAAAACATTTGTCACAATTAAGTAGTTGACACAATAATCATCAAGTTGAGTTTATTTGATATATCACTATGCAAAATATAAGACAAATTTTATTTGAAAGCTGCAATTTGGACATTTAAATCTTTCACTTTCAACAAAGATAATTAGAATTATATTTAACAATTATATATATATTGTGAGTATTGTTAAAAAAAAATCTACAATCTATAAATTGAAAGTAAATTTATCAATATGACAATAGTTTTTAATTGATTGAAATGTTTAGTCAAAATTTTGATTGCAAAAAATTTTCAAACAATGATATGATTTCTAAATCTAACGTGTTTTAAAAAAGGAAAAATTGTAATAAAATGTTTCAATATTACATTGATTTCTTTGTTGATTTGATGATTGATCTTCTTAATGTTGTAAAAATGAATGGTAAGAAAAAGATTTTTCATAATTTGACCTTATTATTTGCTTATTATCAATTATGGTTACACTTGTTGATTCAATGATTTATTTAGATCATCATTTACAATGAAATTGTAACAGCATTATTAATTAATTATTTACAATAAAACACATTATAATTTCATGCAAATCATTGTCTTCATTTGATTTAAATTGATTACAATCATACTAATGAATGACAAATACTAGAATTGTTTTGTATAAAAGATACATCCAAATACAGGTATAATATTCTAGACAAAAATTTTATAGTTTTTTGAAACAATTACATTCTTAAAATTAATGTTATGATGATCAAAACCAATGATACTTCATTACCAAAACGCAAAAACGATCTAGCAAAAAAGTTGTTAAAAAATTTATCAAATTTTTTTGGCAAATGTGACTCATTATATTGATGCAGAGGATTATCATTCGCTGAAAAACTGTCATAAAGTCATGAAATATGTCATACGAAAACTTCAATCCATAAAAAAAATTGAAGTTAAATGTTAATCAAAGAAATATTTTTGTTTTGAATATGCTTCTCATGTGAAATATAAAGTATGTAAAATCTTTTAATGTATTGTTACTTGTATTGTTTTATCATGAAGCAATATTATCAAAAGAGTAAGAGATTTTTAAGATTTTTAATTTTCAC